ACAACCTAGAAAAAGCTATACCCCAGCAAACCCTCATCTCCCCTCTGTGTGATGCACCGCAATGGAGTTTCAAAAACTGTCAGCTAAAATAATCCCTTTCTGATCTGATTGCCTCAGATTTGGTCGCAGGAACAGAAAGCTAGGTGGGTGGGGCCTGGGCTGTTTTCCCTAGTCTGCCAGAGAATGTGGTACCGAAGGGTAGAGACAGCCCAGTGAATGAGCTGTGTCCTGGTCATTAGCCTTGTGGTAAGCTGCTTCTTGGGGTGTTTCCCATGACCCCCTTGCCTTCAACACAGATCCTGGCCCTACTTACAGAGTCAGAAGTAGAGTGTGACCTATAGAAGAAGCATGTGAGGTCATGCAGAAGGCGTGGATGTAAGAGAATCACCAGAGCAAAAGCACAGTGTACTGAAAGATTCCCCTTACCAGCCACTCCGGGGCTCCCAGGCAGTGTGCCACCTCATGACTGGTACTGAGGTTGGGCTAGATGGAGCGCTAAATGTACAACATTCCAGAGGCAACTTATATTTGAGGGGTGCACTCTTCATGCTTACAGAAGGCAATCCTCTATAACCATGGGCTCCCACACTTCCTCCTTCAGTCTTTTTTTTTTTTTTAGTATTTATTTATTATGTATATAGTGCTCTGTCTGCATGTATGCCTGAGGCCAGAAGAGGGCGCCAGATTTCATTACAGATGGTTGTGAGCCACCACGTGGTTGCTGGGACTTGAACTCAGAACCTCTTGGAAGAGTAGCCTGTGCTCTTAACCACTGAGCCATCTCTCCAGCCCCCCCTTCAGTCTTAAACAAATGGACAGGCATGCATAGTGAATGCTCACTGGGCAAAGAGGAAGCTGGTCATGAGGCATCTGCCTTGTGCTGGGCAGGGGATGTGACCAGAACCATCAGGTCTGGACAGCAGGAGAGGCAGTGCTTTCCACAGAAGCCGGTGGCAGTGTGGGTGGTGGCTCTGAGTGGGACCGGAGGCTCCATCACCTACAATGAGTGCTTCTGGATCTCTGG